AAATAGCTAAATCTTTAATTTAATACTGTTACTAAAGATTTAGCTTTGTTTTTTTTACGATCGAACCAGCTAATTAATTTGGTTGTATTAATAATATCATCATCATCCAGGCAAATATTTCGAGACTGACATTCTTTAACAAATTCCTTCCGATTCCAGCTAATGCCTTGTTCTTCAAAAAGTTCTTCCAAGGCAGGTTTTTCAATTCTTCTTCTTCTTGGTGGCGGAACATTTTCATTATCGTGCAAACTTGACTAAAAAAAATAATTAACAATAAAAAAAAAAAATGCTCAAGTTTTTATTTTAATATAAAGTTTACTTACATCTAATTTAATTTTGCGCTTATTATTTCGTACTCTTTTGGTTTGACGTTTTTCAATAGAATGCGGCATATTCTTGTTTTCTATAATCGGGACCAATGGCTTAATCATTCAACAAGAAGTTAATAAATAACTTAGCTTTTATTACTTTTAATACATAATAATAAATTATACTTACATTATTTGATTTGGGTTGAATAAAAGAAGTGAATTGAGATTCTGAAATTTCTTCATTTTGTACAAAAATTGTCTCTTGATTATAATAATTATGGGTTAAAGTATGCGAATCACTTGATTTTTTAGAATCATCGAGATTAATGTTATCATTCAGAGTAAGTGAATTAATATCCTCATTTCGTGAACACAGTGCACTATTTAAATGCTATAAAATAAATTTAAAATTTATCAATTAGTATAATGCATTAAATCTATAGTAAAAGTTTAAGATATTTAACAATCTTAATTAAAAATTATAATTTTACATATTGTATATAAAGTCAATAATTAATATTATTTAATTTGTTTGCTTATAATACAATTTATATATCATTTGCTTTTGATTAAAAATTTATAGATAATATATCTAAAGACAGAATAAAATACTACTTACTTCATTTTCTATAACCACTTGATTATTTGCTTCATTAAACTCTACACTTAATAAATTGACAGCATGTTTCGATCTTGGAAGCTCACTTGGTCTAAACGGATCTTTTTCAGCAGTTTGCTGTTCAGTTGGGAAAAAAATAATATCCCCCCTAACTTTATACTGGCGTAAAATTTCTGCATAAGCTTCTTCGTCAGATCCAGTATATATTACTTTATTTTTTACATTAGATGCTATTACTCGCTCCTTATTTCGAAAATACTGAACAAGTTCTTTTTTTGTTTGATTAATTGAATGCTTATTTCTCTTT